ATATATTATTTTACAAGTATTGACGAAGGAAAAACTAACATTTAAAATTTAGCAATAACCATAACTACACACTCAAATGTCCAGGTAACATTTTACATGGTAGTTAATTCATAATTCTAAAAATCTTCGTACAAATGTTGTTAACGAGGTCGATGATCACTAAACAATTATTAGACACAAATAGTATTGGTATAAGATTGCGCAAGTGTTAGTCATTAAGGTTTTAAATAAGATGAAATGAAATTTCTCTCATTATAATCACATTTAATTATGTAATTAGTTTTAACGACACTTTTACAATATTTAAAATCTTAATTCGACTTCTAAGTATTCGATATGACTTTCTACTTCATTTCCTAACCAGGATGCAGACATATTGTGTTTCTATTTGTGCGTCGTATTATATTCTAGAGATCTTCCGCGCAGGAAGCGGTAGAGAAAATCACGCATTCAACTGCATCTGCGCATCTCTGTATTGCATTTTCTGTGAGTCAATTCACATTTATCTCAGTGGCTTACACGTCGAGCACGCAACCTGGCGGACACGGGTTAAAATCTTCGCGAAAACCTTTCGTCCATTTTTCTAGAAACATTTTCATCTTAATTGCAGAGAATAACACTAAAAATGAGTATTATTTAAATTTTCTAAATCATCTTTCTTATTTTTATCAACATTTTTCTTTAGGTGACCTTATGCAAAAAGAGTTCCGTATAGGCGTTGCATGCTGAAAGTGATAGCAGTGAGCTTTTTCTATTTTTGAATTATAAATTTAGCTATTTGTTAGAAAAACAAACTTAGCGCGATGAAATCGATCTAATTTTTTACAATGTATTGCACATTGTAAATGAATTTATGTATTTATAAGAATTCGCGTAAATTTTATAAATTTAGGAATTCTTTCGACATACTGATTACTTTTGCCTGCACTACGCACAATTTGATTGGTGCCGACATCGAGAGTTGAGTTCAAATTTAAAGGCCAGCGGCGTTTCATTTGCTTTAAAATATTTATTTTATTCTTATTATTTATTTATTCTTTATTTAAATTACATTTAAAAAAATCCTTTTGGCATTCTCTCCCAGTCAACCAAATGTAATTTATGTATGTATTTGCTGAACAGATCGTTGACCTTGTGTATGATAGGACTTGGAACGATTTGCCATCTGTTTGAATAGTGAAGATGCGTTTAGCTAAAGACTCGTGGCGAATCGCTTTCAACTCGCGCTGGGACCACCCATCCGTGGTGCTTTCTACTGATCATCAAACGTGTCCGCCAATGCCATATTAGCCATGGCATTCCGGGCCTCTCGTGCGCGGAACGATATGTGAAACGATTCTTATTGAATGTTACATTTTCAACGCTTTAGCGATAAATCTGTGCCACAAATATTCCTCTACGGTCGCACTCCGGGTTTGACATAGATCTATGGTCTATGGTATGGTGTGACTGTTATTTAGTTTCGAATCTTACTACTTCCCCATGGCAAAAAAATATTTCAATTATTTTCATTATAACAACTTTTAAGTATAACTTATACCCTATGAAATATAACTTACATCTGATTAATGTCCGAAGGAGGTATGTCTGTGAGCTTTAAAAATAATTAAGCAAGCCACAGCGCCAAGTGTTTATAAAACAGAGAAAAAAATTATGTTGTAATTTTCGTATTGTTCTGTGTTAGATGTTTGGGAAAATTTCTAACTATTTACTTTATATTAATACTTAATTATTAATAATAATACTGCTGAAGCAGTGGGTTAACTCGTTGATGTGTGAAATATACCTAATTCCTTACCAAAATTTCAAAATTCACAATGGATGATATGAGCAAATGAGCTAACCGGTCTGTGCAATAAGTGATAAAAGATATTCTTTGTGTTAGTGGTGATAGATTTTGTTAATATAAAAAAATTATGAGTCTGAAATTAGATTAAACCACTTAAACCAATGGAAGTGGTAAAATAGGTTTCGATCTTAATTCATTCGGAGATATTTGATATTTAAAAAAAATAACATTACGACTTCGTTGTTTATAATCCGTGGAAACGAATAGAAGCTTTTTCTCAACCGACTCCAAAAAAGGAGGAGGCTCTCAATTCGACTGCATTTTTTTATGTTTGTTACCTTACTACTTCCCCATGGCAAAAAAATATTTCAATTATTTTCATTATAACAACTTTTAAGTATAACTTATACCCTATGAAATATAACTTACATCTGATTAATGTCCGAAGGAGGTATGTCTGTGAGCTTTAAAAATAATTAAGCAAGCCACAGCGCCAAGTGTTTATAAAACAGAGAAAAAAATTATGTTGTAATTTTCGTATTGTTCTGTGTTAGATGTTTGGGAAAATTTCTAACTATTTACTTTATATTAATACTTAATTATTAATAATAATACTGCTGAAGCAGTGGGTTAACTCGTTGATGTGTGAAATATACCTAATTCCTTACCAAAATTTCAAAATTCACAATCGATGATATGAGCAAATGAGCTAACCGGTCTGTGCAATAAGTGATAAAAGATATTCTTTGTGTTAGAGGTGATAGATTTTGTTAATATAAAAAAATTATGAGTCTGAAATTAGATTAAAAACCAATGGAAGTGGTAAAATAGGTTTCGATCTTAATTCATTCGGAGATATTTGATATTTAAAAAAAATAACATTACGACTTCGTTGTTTATAATCCGTGGAAACGAATAGAAGCTTTTTCTCAACCGACTTCAAAAAAGGAGGAGGCTCTCAATTCGACTGCATTTTTTTATGTTTGTTACCTTAAAATTTTCGACTGGGTGAACCGATTTCGACGATTCTTTTTTTTATTTGAAAGCTGGTGCTTCCGATGTGGTCCCATATTTTTAGGACACATTCTTTTTACACAACGTTCTCTAGTCCCAAACTAAGCAATGCTTGTACTATGGGTACTAGAAAACTGTTAGACATACTTAACCATACTTTTCTTTTGTAAATAAATACACATTATACATATAAAAACACCCAGACACTAGAAAAATACTATGCTCATCACACAATATTTTTCCAGTAGTGGGGATCGAACCCACACCCTCTGGCGCAGAAGGCAGGTACACTAACGACTACGCCATTCGGGTCGTCAAATTCATTAATTTCATTGGTGTTGGATCTTGTGCTACAGAGATACGTAGGTAGTCAACTCCTGAAAATCAATTATACAATTAATACAAAGCGAGCTATTTGAAGTCGGTTTTGGTATTCGTTAATAAAAAAAAATTACTTGTTTTAAATGTCAATTTTCAATTGGAACAAGTTCTGTTTGTCAGTTTTTTTTTTTAATAAGAGTATCGCGTCGTTTATTTTTGGTCTTAGCTTGTATAAAAGTTTCTTACACCGTTCGTAAAACAGTGCCCACAATTCCTATGTGCATTTCGTTTTTATTATCCAATTGTCAAGTTGGAAGGAATTTTAAATGTGTTATAAAATAAAAATGTGATGAATCTGATGACTCCGTGGCGCAGTTGCCAAGGTATTGGCTTCGGCGTCGGGGGTCGTGGGTTCGATCCCCACACGAGAAAACTATTTGTGTGACCCACAAATAGTTGTTTCGCATCTGGATGTTTTTCCGCATGAAATTAATGTTTGTAAAACGTCCTTACAATACAGGATAAGCTTATCTAAAGTAAGGGCAATGTTTTAAAAAAAAAAACAATAATCTCACAGTAATTTAATTTCTAAGTTGTTACAACATACCACGTTAATCATAACTCTTATCATTATTAAATTTACTGTTCTTACTTATATTACTTTCTTTTTATACTTTTAATATATTAAAAAAATTCCCCTATACCAGGTATATATTTAACCTTTACAAGTAAGGCTTAAAATTTCAATGCCTGTCAACAAAATTGTCGCAGCGTTGTGTTCATAGCCTGTACATTATTCATTGCTAGCATTTAAATATCAGGCGCTTAAACCAAACGCGGATGGCTTATATCTAATAGAAAAATATCGGTTATAAAAATAACATTATATTGAATTAAATGGACAACAAATTTATTTAAGAACTTTTTTTTCTCTTATCATTTGGTTAACGTACTTTATTTCATTTTTATGATGTTTATATTTGTATAACATATTCCTTTTAAAATATCACTGCATTCGTATCGGTCTTGCAATTTATAAATGCTACTTCAACCGTCATGTTTTCCGACATAAGGGCAATATTTTTGAAATACTTAAAAAAAATAAGCAGTCATGAAAAGTTCAAACGGAAGTGAAAATTTAAAACTTCGGAACAACTGTTTTATTTTTAAATTAATTGTAGTATGAATAATTAAATGTCTGACTATTTAAACAAAGGAATAATAGTTATGTTAATTAATTTTAGGTACAGAATTATTAATTTAATTTTAAAATCCGCGATGAAAATATCATAGAACAATTACAAATCTGTATTACCACGTTAGGAAAATGACACCTTTGCCACTATGAAATACTTGTTTATTTATTGTAAATGTCGAACATTAAAAAAGTTAAAAAAAAAACAATTTTTAACATCACGAACGGCAGTGACAAAACACGTCACGTTAGCTTATCGGTGACGGGAACCCATACCTATTGCTCCTACCGAAAATCGCTCAATGCAGCCAGAGGTTTTCACTTTAAAACAAGTATTTTTTTTAGTAACGGAAACCAAAACAGACTTCAAATATCTCGCACTGTATGCATTTTATAATTGATTTTCAGGAGTTCCCTAAATATGTTCAGAGCCCATGATGAAATACCAGAGATATTAATATAGAAATGTATTTTATAATTATTTATATGGAATTAATACGAAATTAATTCAAATGGGAAGCACCAGCTTTCAAATAAAAAAATGATCATCAAAATCGGTTCACTCAGTCTCGTAAGTACTGAGGTAACGAACATAAAAAAAAAATACAGTCGAATTGAGAACCTCCTCCGTTTTTGAAGTCGGTTGAAAGTGAAGCTAACGCCGGCGACGTTTGCTTACAGATTGGGGCGTCCACAGTGAGCCGGGCGAAGCGAGCGAGCCGGAGGCCGGTCGCATGCGTCCCGAGGACTACCGCCTCGTGTTCCTCAGCTCGGACTCCTCGTGCCGCGAGGACACCGAGGACTCCTCGTCCACGGCCTCCTCGGTGGCGCATCCGGCACCAGACGACTGCGACTGGGACTACTTCGAGCCGGGCGCGTCCGCGCAGCCGCCCCCGCCCAGGCACACGCCCCTGCCGTGCCCTAGGACGTGCTCCTGCGGCGCCGAGCCCAGGATAGTGGCCGTGCCCGTGCCGGTGCCGGTGCCCGTGCCCGCCGCCCTCTGGCCCGCCCTCCTGGCGTTCCCCGCGCAGAACCCCCCCGCGCCCCACTGGAACACCTACCCGGGCTTCCCGCCGCTCGATGCCGCGGCCCTCGCCAGGCTCACCACGGCCGCCGCGGTCGCCGTCGCCGCCACCGCCACCGCTGCCACTGCCACCGCCGCCGCTCTGCCACAGCCGAACAAGCTCGAGATGACCGCCGAACGCAACGACACAGCGGCGATACAGTCCGAAACGTCAGAGCATGCGGCGCGCGATAACGATAACGCCGATAAGCGCGCCGAACGCCCGATCGAACGCACAGCGTCAGACGACATCAAGGTGATTGCCGAGGATAGTGTGTCGGTGCTATCGGGGCCAGCGGACGCCATGCCGGGACATTTGGACGCCGAAAATGCGTTCCCGTCGTCCAACGAGTCTGCGGAATCGAGCGATTCGGAGGGAGGCGTCGCCCGGCGCAGCTATGACTTCAGGAGCGGAGCGCCCGAAGAGCCTGCCACGTCGGACGAGGACTCGGATGACTCGGGCGGGGGTGGCGGTCATTCTCGCGCGTGTTCGTCGTCAATCCCGCCGACTCGTCGTCCGACATGGAGGACAACGCGGACAGCAGCGGGATCGACTGCGACGATTCCTACGACAAAAAGTCGGACAGTTTGGAAGTGAATGTTATGGAAGACAATGGACAAAATGAATTAAACGAAAACGTAGCTTTAAATGTGAGTGTTGCGGAGATTAACGACGCCAGTAATATCGTTTTAGTGGACTCTATCTGCTTCTCCGAAGATCGGCCCGCGAATACGTGTAGCGATGACAGCGACGAGGGAAGCAGCGACGACGCGGTGAAACGGTCGAACTTCGTTAAATTTTGTGATGATAATATGCTCCGAAGTGAAACCTGCGAGAGATACAACAGTTTTAACGCCAGTTGCAGCACTTATATAGATAACTCCGATTGCAGTAACAATGACGATAATAATCAAAGTAGAAGTACTATATCGGAAGTAATCGAGTGCGACTCGTTGGATAACAGTTTTAATGCCGAGAACAGTATAAAAGTAAAAGTGTCGGTGAAATTACAAGAAGAAACGCGCGACGAGAAAGATTCCGATGGCTGTAGCGAGCGTGTCGCAATGGCGGCGCCGTCCCCGGAGCCGATTCCCGATGACACTAAAGCGGAGAGGGCGGAAAAAATAGACCTGTTCAAAGGTATCGAGCGGACGCTCAGCGAGCTGTTGAAGAAAGAACTGTTGGAGGAGCCGGGGGAGGTGAAAACGTACGGCGCGCGGCCCGTTCGCGCCGGGGCGGAGGGGAGCGCGGGCGCACCTGACGCCGCGGCCGCGCCAGTCTGCCGCTCGCTCTCGCCCGGTGCGGACGGCTCCGCGCGCTTCACCAGCCGCGTTATGATAACGCACGACCGCGTCTCCGTCGTCACAACGGACACGACGCAGCTCATGCGCGACATCACGGTGCAGCACACGAACTCGCAAAACGAAACGCCCTCGGGCGGCGCGCGAACCGACACTAGCGGCGAGCGCGCTTCCGACGACGAGACGCAACCTTCGGGCGGGGTGACCGTCGTCAGCAACGCGGACACTCTCTCGGCGGTGGTTTGCCTCGAGGAGGGGCTCGCGGACGACGACTCGTGGGTGGAGGACGTCAGCCATGACGAGGAAACGACCACGTCCGACAGCGAGTCCGGCGACGAGGCGTCGATGCCCGCGCGCGGCGAGGAGTTCGCCTACTGCAGGCGCTCGCTGGACTTCACCCTGCACACGATAGTCGAGGAGAGCTGCGAGGAGAGCGAGACGGAAAATGCCACGAAGAAATCGCGGCCGATCTCGGCCACCGAGCTGGAGAAGTACTTCTTCTTCGGCCTCGGCGACGGGCGCAACGTACGCGACGACGAACCCGCCTCGGAAACGTCCAGTGTGTGTAGTGAGGGCGGTGAATCGATTGTGGACAGTGAGCAGCCGAAGAGGAGCGGCGACAACGAGGAGCTGGTGTCGTCGCGGCTGGAAAAATACTTCTTGTCCGGTTTCATGGGATTTAATCAGGAGAGGCGCGATTCCGACGGCTCGGGGAGCGTCGGCAGTGATAGCGAAGGTAAACAAAGCCCTGAGCAGAGACGCAAAAGACTAGTGCGCGCCCGCGGCACGCCTCGGTCGCATTCTTCTTCGTTAGACAACTTGCTCGCCGGCGATGAGCCTTCCCAAGACACTCAGGAAGTGTCGGACGGTTCAAGTACTGAAACTGAAGATCGCCACGAATCCCTCGAAAGGCTCGACATGCAAGGCGAAACAAAAAGAAAGAAACAGTCTAAAAAGACCCGCGGGTCGCCCGCAGACGAGAGACGACAATCGATAGAGTTTTCCGAAGAAACCCGTGACGACACGAGGTCGGTGTCCGAGGGCGAAGACGGTAGGTTGACCCCTAGACCCGAATTCCCACCGCTTGGATCTGAATTGTCCGAATCTAAAAAGCAAACCAGTAGGGATAGCGGCTTTGTCGGCAGCTGTGATGATCTGCTCAGGAACGGAGATTCGAGCGCCGAGTTCAGTAGATCTCACGAGCCCAAGTCAGAGTTGGAAGAAATTGTCGAAGAAATCAGGCCCGATTTGGACGAACGCGTCGAGCGTCCGCCTTCGTCCCGTCCGCCGCCGAGCCCGTTAACGCGTAAAGACAGCTTCAACAATTGGTCTTCGGACGAGGAAACGAACCTTATGATGACGAAAATGAGACAGTTCTTCAAGCAAATGGTGAACTCCGCGAACGTCAGGACCTCCACGCCCGCGTCGTCGAACTCAGAGAGCTCGCGGCCGCCTAAGCCGCCGCAACTTCTATACTTCGAAAGCGAGCTCACGCGGCTCATGAAAACCGTTCCGGGCATCCGCGACGAGGAGGTGCGCGAGATAGTCGAGTATCTATCGAGCGAGGACACGTGGAGCGACTCGTACGACTCTTCCGACTACGCGGGCTCCGATTTAGAGGGCACGACGAACAGGTCCGCGTTAAGGAAGCAGATATCGGACAGCTGTCGCGAGATCATCGACGAGTTCGACAGGGGCGACGGCGCGGGCTCGCTTGAGCGCGACGCGGTCGGCGCCTACCAGAAGTTGGCGGCGACGCTGGGCCGCGCCGGCGAGGGCTCGCCGCCGCTGTTCGGCAAAGTGATGCGCCACATCGGCGGGCGGCTGGTGGCGCTCATGCACGAGGTGTCCGCCGGCGCGTCGCCCAGCACGGACGACGACAGCGCGTCGGAGCCGGGCGCTTTGGCTCGGAGCCGGTCCCACGATGTGCTCGAGGCGGCCGCGAGTAGGGGCAGCGTGGCGAGCGACTGCGAGAGGTTCTCTTGGCGGGGCAGCTTCGAGTCCGCCCTGCTGGCGGCCGACTCGCGCGGCACGCTGGGCGGGCCCGGCTGCGAGGCGAGGCGGTCGCCTGCGGGCGCGGAACTCGCCGCGCAGAAGTCCCACTCGAGGAGTTGCGGCGCGATCGCCGGGAGCGAGGATAGGCTGTGGCGCGGCAGGCGGCGGGCGTCCGCCCCTGACGCCGAGGTAAGGACACCCGACACTTTCCCGCCCTGTGTATACGACACAATTGTCTCGTCCGCCCCTGACGCCGAGGTAAGGACACCCGACATTTTCCCGCCCTGTGTATACGACACAATTGTCTCGTCCGCCCCTGACGCCGAGGTAAGGACGCCCGACATTTCCCTGTGTATAAGTCACAATTGTCCTACGAATGTGTCTTATACACAGTCTTAATTTCTTCATACAATGTAGACTTAATTTAAGGTCTTATTGAACGTCAAAAAACTACCATATATTCGAGTAGCTTTATAGTAGCTGAATCTGCGTTGCTTGTTATGTTAAAGACTACACCGCTTACCCCACTTTTCCACGGCAAGAAAAAACACATCTTAGAACACGTAGTACTTATAAAAATCGCTCTTACCTTAAAACTTTAACAATTTTACATTAAATAAAGTCATCACAATATGTAGTTTAGGTAAGCCAAATGTCTAAGAAATAAAACTTCGAAAGAATGAATGGTTTCTGTGATGAGAGCACAACGGCAGACAACCATAATTTTATATATAGATACCCATAAACGATTCATCGTAAAAAACACAATAAGCAATACATCATAGTGCCAATATCAATAAAACGTTCACGCTCAACTTGTTAACAGGTACTCTAAACGTCTTGTTAAATGTACGACGCCTTTACACTTATGTTAGTTTTTCAATGAAATTTCCACGTTCAATGTCATGTTTCGCTCCAATATCAATAAAACTGAGCGGGGCCTTGCTATTGTTTTCAAGACAAAACTGAAAACTGTGTGAATGTAAATCAACTGTGTAAAACTTAATATTATTTTGTACAGATCTAAAAGTGAATTATAATTATCGCTATCTCTTCAATTGAAGAGATAGTTGCAAAAATGTTGTGTCGATGCATTCAAACAACAATAAACAAAGTAATACATAGTTCGCATTACAGTACAGCCATGTGCCACATACATTGCTTAACATCGTGTCCAATGAGTAAACACGTATTTGAACATTGAGAAGTTGACATAAAGACACAGCGTACATACAAACTTATCCTTCCATAGTGATAAACAAACGCCATCCTGCTAAATTCTGCTCATAATTAATGTCTAACAATTAGATGAATACCGATTATCAACTTTTAATACACGGGTTAAGGCTCAATTTTAACAATTCGAACAAACTTGATCTAGATATCGAGTTGTCTTATGAACTCATTTCCAAACTACTTGCATTGTATTTTTGTTATGGTCTTGTGTAAACCTTATGAGTAAGCAACAATGCTTTATTGAGTTCCACGAACTTTAGTTAATTCACGAGTACAATTTAATTAGGTAATTTCTAAAAACCTTGCCTAACCAATTACCAATTAGCAAATGGCATTTTCCATTAGACAAAATAATAACGAGACATTGAATTAAAGAAAATAAGAAAAAGAAGAAAATAATAAAGTCTTAAAAGATAGGTACTAATAATGAAGCGTTACGACACTTTGTACTTTTCAATTTCTATAATTTTATCTTTCATATAGATTTCCATTATCATATTAATCCTCATACCAATGAACTTATTGCGCACATTTTATTTTGCCACTCCATCAAAAGGTGGCAACGCGCTTGCAACTGTACGGGTGTTGCAAACATCACGTGAACCGCCAGCTCGCTTACTGCTTCTCACATAAAAAAGACACTTCTTTATGTACACACAACCATTTACAAAAAACAAATGATTTTGTCAGTCGGGGACTCAGGTCAACATAAGGTAATAGCTGCAGGTACCCGGAATTAACGACGAAAATAGGAAATCGGATAATAAAACAGTAAAGTTTTATTGTTCCCGATGCTGTTCCTTTAGGTAACTTGAATATACCTCGTTAAAATCGACGCTTATAGTATTACTTCTTGAATTATTGGCAGAATTAATTATTTTATCGAGCAACAATGTACACACATAATATCAACCTCCAATGTTTATGATTTTACTCTATGACTATTGTAGTTTATTGTATATGTGCATTTGTAGTTGTACTCAGCATATTATTACAATAGACACTACAAGTACATCCCTGATCTTCAGTGATGATCAAGAATAAGAGGAATACAGTTCCGTAACTGAAAGAAAAACATGAAACCAAAAGGACCAAAACATTGCCCCAAAAAAAAAGAAAGTAAAAAAAAGTTATATAAAAATTGTATTAGAGGAATAATAAACACGTAATTTTTAAAACCCGTTTATAAAATAAAAAGTATCTAGTTTTCAAAAATTTTAAATTTTATCGATAAAGTAGATATAAAATCTCAACGCATTTCGTTGAGATTTTCGTCGGTGTGAAGATAAGATTACCTCACTGATTAAATCGCCGGACTCTAATCCCGTAGGTCGCTGGTTCAAACGTTAACAGCGACGAAAAACTTTTCGTCCTACAAAATTGTTAAATATAAAAAGAATACACATACGGTAACGGGATGCAACATTTGACAACTACACCGCCCATGTCTGTAGATAATCATGAATAATCAAATCAATTCCAAAATTCTATGATTAGCTTTAACGGTAATTGTTTTAATATCACGACAGTCAGAAGAGGAGGAACGGGCGGGCTCCCTGCCGCGTCTGCCGTCCATCACTGGGACCAATACAGTTCCCGCTGGGCCCGTTAAGTCGGCCCGTTATCGGGCCCCAGGGTTCCGTACAGCCACCAGAGCAGCATCAGCGCCTGGTCTCCACGCGCCGAGAAGACGAAGACCGCCCCCGACACCACACCAGCCCACCCCAGCCGCCCCCGCCTCTGCGCCGAGCTTGCAGGGTGAGTCAATTTTAGCTACGACGTAAAATTCTGCACGAAGATTTGTCACGCACGATCAGTTGTTGACCGCTATAGAATTGGATTAACCCGCTGGATCAATGTTAAGATTGCCAATTTCTTCAATATCTGTCGAGCCGTGTTGGAGTCCATAGGAATTATACATAAACAAATGATAATGTTTCAGGTTATTGTCAGGGATATAAATGATTTTTAAGCAACAAGGGCCTTTTTCAATGTATACACATTTAAAAAAATCAAAGAAGACCGTATGTTGCAACCCTAAAGCGGATTAAATGAAAAGAGAAATATTTACTAACAAACTACAATATGTCACTCACCATAGACGATTTAGAGAAATTCCCTGGTGTATCTCCGGAGTCTAAGGATCAATACCCATGAAATTTATATGGGAACACATGAAAGATGAACCCAACCCAAGGCAAAAAATTTTTTTTTTAAATCGGTTCTCAAATGACGAATTTATTTTAAGCAAACATAAAAAATACATCCGAATAGAGAACCTCCTATTTTGAAATCGGTTGAAAAAGTTAGCATCTCTATATCTGTCCATTTCCGGGCTTTCACTTCTGGTCGGATTAACATGATTGTTTTAAATAGGGCTACGTGTTATTTGGCCATGGTTTTAGTATAGGTTTGGTCATTAACGTAAATGAATTAATCGTTCTCAAGAGTGCGAGCGAAACTAGTAGAAATATGTTTATTGATATGAACACTAGGTTTTCTCGGGTGAAAAAAAATAATCCGCATAACACCGGAAAGAGAAAAATAATTATTGTCATTAATTTATCTTCTTATGAAGAGAGGGTGTACTAATAAGAAATATATTTTAGCAGTAAGTTCACTATTTTGTCCATGAGGAACAACGTTTCAAGTAAAATTTGGTGACGCTGTAAATTTCCCGTGATCTGAAGTAGTAAGAAAACGAAAAATATGTATAGTTTTAAGGAAATGTTTTTCATACCTGACCTAAAATTTAATAAGCAAACTACTTAAAATATTTGATAATTTTGCCACATTTCAAAATAAGACTACCGCCGGTGCTACACCATTACTTGCTGTTTCATTTAATGGGAAGTTTACACGAGCACGAGCTACTTGTAGATTATTGCGAAAGTAGTTCCAGATCTGTATATGTAGCGGTCACATCCGTGTTAAAACATAACACATGATACATGATACATAACTTGCCTAGGTGATTGCTTACATGGGTGGGATTAGTGGCGGAAGAAGGCTTCTACAACTTTTTTCCTTATCTTCACATATCTATGTTAATTATGTTTGAAAATTTGGTAGCCAGAAGTTACATATAACTACTAACGAGTAGTATAACTTAAAGTTATACTAAAGAATAATAGTAGATTAGATTAGTATAATCAGGAATGACCTGTGGTTTTTGTTTCCATATTACATTCCTCTGATTAAAATCAATATCTATAGCAAAATAGAATTGTCGTTCATTGATTTCACAATAAATGCCAACATGCACGTGAAAACTGCGATTTTGAATATTTTTCAAATATACTTATAAGATGGATGATAAATGGCCGGAATAGGCTCGCTCTATAATGCGACTCAACGGATCACAAAGAAAATAATAAAGTTAAAAAACAAGAGTAACAAAGTAATTTTCGCGTATGTTCTTGTAAGGCATTTCATTTTTGATTTTAATTCCGTTCTTAGATCCGTAGAGACAAGGTTTTGGGCATAAGCTAATAAAAAAAAGTTTCCCACAGTTCGTAAGGTACTAAAGGTAATTAATAAGTTACGAATATTGCAGTCTAGACTAACACGTGAAATGTTTATCTTTAAGCAGGAAGTCACAAAACCTCAATGAGTGAAAACGATTGCAACAAGTTTTCTATAATTACTGCGTTCACCTTCAATACATATGACTAAGCATGCATTTTAAAGTTAAAACAGAATGTTCGATAAATTACATCCTATAATTTAAGACGATATACTTCTACATTTAAGCGCACATTTCTTACTAATACCTGTTTTATTAGGTAAATTCTCTGTCAACCCTAGTGTCCCATGTAATCGATTTCTTTCGATTACTTGATTAGTGGGTAAGAGCGCATGGTAGCGACCACCTTTGCTCTCGTAACCGTATCCGTCTTTAAGTAAAAAGTTTTCTGTGCTGGATATTTTCAAAATTTTTATTAATTCAACTCTAAGCACTAAAATGTAGCGTAATGCGTCTACTATATCTTTTAATTTCTTGTGGCTCAATCGTATTGTCATGTTAAGATTCAGATAAGTACAATTCCCTCATGATGTGTGTCACAATAACTTCAGCTAGAATGTAAACCCGACTACTGAGGACTACATCTTAATAATTTTAAGTTAATATCCATATATTGGAGTTCTAACTTTACTAGTCGTCGCCAAGTGGTCGAAATTCGACCATAATGAATTATACGTGGAGGTGTGCGTAAAGTATTATTATTGATTTAATGTATTCTTATGCATAATTTAACAAAAATATTTATTTAAAAAAATTAGCATTCTGCACTCCTTCTCCATATAAACTATAAGTGTGGGCAATTTAATACTCCTCCGTCCGCGCAATTTTCGTAAACAGGGGTACAAAGTTTTTGCTTCACGTATTAATATATAGATGATGAACGTTTTAAAAAAATACTAACTTAACATAAATAACGTAATAAAAAAATAACAACTATCACAGATGTCGCTTTTAACAGTTGTTAAATCTCACGGGAAAGTCAAGGGTTTTCCTCTTGCGTACTACATCGACCTGTATCCAATTTTCTCCATTCCCCGATTGGCGCGGATTTTTAAATAAAATCTTAAAGGCCCGATCTAGCGCCGCGTCACGGAGCTTCGATCAACTTGGCCGGCGTCGAAAAGTGGGCCTAACTGTTACCGGTACTTAGTATCTCTTTGTTCGTGCCTACATTCCTCCGCAAACACGGCGACCTTAATGCCGGCACGTTCCGACGTATCGATATTCCTCGTCATTCTTGTTTGGTGATTTCTTAATTTCACCTTGCCTCTACAACAGCCGGTTTCTGGTTTCAAAATCATCGTATCGTTGAGTATATCTTTGGGGACGAAAGTAGTTCCTGCAAGCGATTGTTCTATACGTCTGGTTTTTTTTTTTTTCACTTCTGAAATGAAAACATTTTGGTACGCGCCGCGAGTCATGACTCAGAAACAATCTTTGCTAGCGATTAAAATATAATCACTGTGATGAGTATCGCATTTAAAAACCTTCGATTTTAAGTCGAATACTACTTTATTTTAACGGTACAAGTTTGGCTCTATTTTTACAGATGTGTCGCGTTTTTTTTTTAATTTTAGTTCCCGTTTTCGAACCATTGCCCTTGACGATGAACGTGGGGAACTATGATTAAAAATAAACGAAGTAAATGCGTAAAAAAATCGTTTCATTAAGCAATTTGTAATCACGTAAATACAAAAATTATAACATATATAAGATCATCAACCCTTATCCTATCTAGGTGGAGTCGCCACATATAAATCATATCGCAAATGGTATTTCCTTGGTCTTTTACGCCCAGCCGCCTGTCTGATGTTAGCCCTCCTTGAGAATAAAAACCCAGATCTGAAATAATATTTAGCTATGGGTCAAATAATAGTCATCAGAAGTTATTAGTCATAAATGCATTATTTACTTGTATTAGTCATAAAAGTAAATAATGCCTATAGGTACAATCGGTACTATACTTTTGTAAATACACACATCATATAGATATTCAAACACCCAGATACTGGCAAAACTCGAACCCACACCCTCTAGGGCAAAAGGCAGATCGGTTCGTCAAAGATATAAAATATAGCTGTTAGATATTATCACTCCTTACAAATACTTGGTGTGTACGATAACCTGATAAACATACCATCTATAAAAGGTAGTGTGGTTCAATGATTTTAATATAAACGAAATTGTAGCTAAAGTGTTATTCACTTAGCCATATCGTGAGGACATACGTAAATATTACTTACGTGATACACGTACCGGTACGAATATTATTTGCATTTGTTTTTGTTCTGTAATAAATTGTTTATGCGTTTCTACACGCTTCCTAGCCGAATTAACTTGTTTTCTTAATCTTGAATTACGATGCGATTAAATCAAATCAAATTTACATAGGTAATTAGGAATTATGACGACTCATTTATTAAAATAAATAATTAGCGTCTTGAAATACGAATTCTGTTCAGCATTCTCTCATCATCATCCTCCTTACCTTACCCTCGTATTCTGTACGACCGGCGAGAAGTAGAAGTGTTGTTACACTCCTGCGTTACAACCGGTGAGTGATGACAGTGATAGCCGGGGCCCATTTTTTTTGAAAGGTGGCAACGCATCTGCAACCCTACGCGTATTGTAAATGTTCATGGGCGACGGTTATCACTTAACATTAGGTGAACCGCCAGCTCATTTGCCTCTTTGTCACTTAAAAAAATATAAAAAAAATCCCAACTGAGTATGGTCGGCACAACATGATTTAGAAGTGGTTATGGCTTATGGCTATATTTTAACGACCGGCCGCCTCGCTGCTGTTAACCCTCCTTGGGAACAAACACCCAGATCCGGAACAATAAGCTCTAGAGCACGCAAATTCTTGTCCCGAGAAGGATTCGAACCCACGAACCCGGAGCCCCAGCCAATGGCTACGCAACTGCGCCGCCGGGTCATCTCAAATAAGTTTTCTCTTTATAGCTCAGAAAAATTTCGCAAGAACGTGAAAATGTAGAAATTTAAAAGCCGTACAAGAATTTTACATAGTCAAGGGATTGAATGAAAACTATGAACGCCGTGTAAGATGAAACAAACTAAATGATTCATTAACATCCGAGTCATTATTTCGAAATGAATTTATTGATAATTGAACAGGGCTGTGTAACGTAATATTTTAATCATCGTCAATAAAACGAACTAGATTGCGGCGATTTATCTACTGCTTGTCACAACAGTGGTAGCAATCGTT